ATATTGACGACTCTTTATCCGCCTGATTGTAATCAGATTCATAACCATTTATACATATTTATAATTGACAGAGTTTGCTTGTTTGTTTGATTGGGTTAACACGATACCAATCGTTGAGATATCACCTGGGTGTAAAATTTTTTAGTGGTGGAATTATGTAACATTGGACAATGTTTAATTAAAAAATAGCAAAGCAATTTTTATACAGATATAAAAACTTGAGTTTTTTTTTTGGCGGGACCTGGATGTGAGTTCCGCGCTGAATGTGGGTTTGATATGGCCTTCCTTTAACTACATACGAACTTTGATTTCAAAATTGTTAGCTTCATTCGGAATGATGGTGCGCGGTCGATGATCTATCACGGTCAACGTTGCCCTACTTGATTGGCATAGAAAAGACGTTCCGTTTAGCAACCGTCAACAACAAAGAACGACAATTACATGTGTTATTAACGTTCTTGGCAATTTAAATAAATAAAGTGATCGTATATAATAAATTTCTTCTTTTACCGTTATTAATATTTAGGAGATTATTTAAACTTCTTGCCTAGTATCAGTACACAAGTGTATCAGCTAGAGTCTCAAGTTAAAGTCTCAGTTTTTGCCTAGTCTCAATACAAGTTCGTTAAAAAATACGACAGTTCTAAGAAAATGTTTCGTGTTCATGTCCCTGTAACTGCACGTATTCAAACCACAAAAAAATACATAGTACCTTGGCTACGTTAAAAAATTGAGTTGCCGTAAATAATAAATTTCTTTCATTACCGTTATTACTAGTTAGCAGATTGACTTAAACTTCTTGCCCAGCCTCGATACACAAGTCTATCAGTAGAAGTCTCAAGTTAAAGTCTCATTTCTTGCCAAGACTCAACACAAGTTCGTTAAAAATACGACTGTTATAAGAAAATGTTTCGTGTTCATGTCCCTGTAACTCCACGTATTCACAGCCGCAAAAACCATAGTATCTTGGCTACGTTCAGCCCACATTTTTGTTCTCAATTTGCACCGGGAAATGAGCTTTGCGACGATGAGATTCAGCCATGAAGACCCAATCACTGGCCACCAACGGACAAGATTAGTCATGCGATATTTGAACTTCAGAAACACATTGAATAAGCGCCAAGTCTTTGTGTGAATAGTAGTGATTCAGGTCACAATGAAAATATGATGTAGAGTATTGCTATTTTACCTTAGTTTACTGAAAATTTATTCGTTAATGAATTAATTTAGGTTTTAAGTATTTCAGTAGATTTGAACTTTGTTGAAGAATTTCTTCCTGCTCCCGAATAAAATTTAAATCAAAATATTCCAAATCAATTAATTTATAAAGCCTAATGGTTATAATATTCTTTCATGAATTTTTTTCATTAGCATTGTCATTCGTTGTGATGTGTGTGAAGTGATTTTTTCGGAAGCATATTGGTATGGGTTGACGAGTGTGAGTAGGGATTTGTTTAAGAAATGTCGTTCCGTTTTAATTTAATAGAGACTTGGAAGTATAAGTTCAGTTCGATAGTTAATTTGGAGAAGAATGATGATGCATTAAGGAAATTGAATTTAAGGCTTGATTGAGGCGGAAGTGACCCAAGTTTACGGTTGACTGCTGTATATTCCACTGTATATATTGTGATCTTTGCTCAATTTCATATCTAATAGCTATATTTATTTGATGCATGTAAAAATCCTTTAATTGGTATATGTAGCGCATGCATCGTCACCTCTTTTTGGTGACGTCATTCGTCACGCATTAATTAATCATGACCTTATTTCCTGCCTTTGTGTCATTTCTCTCGTAATTGACCCATCAACACCTTTACACCCCAGAACGGCTTGCATGTCACTCCTAATTTGAGCAGGCGTCAATAATTTAGAAGGTTAGCAATAGAAATATTGATACCTTGAGAAAGTGAAATTTATCTTCAATCTGTTATTCATGAATTGAAATTAATTTTTAAAGTAATTTAAATGAACTGCTAGAAACAATTTTTGCGTGGATCTATTTTTAACGGAGTTTTATCATTTCACAGAATAAACCCCGATTTTTCATCCTTCGCTTGCTTTCTATTCGCTGCATGTCTACATGATCCTGCTCGTCTGCGTATTACTCTTATGTTATTTATTAAAGTTACTCTGGAAATATAATCGATTTCAAATCTTGCGCCGCTAAAATTTTAATCACTGAATATTATTGTTCATAGATATCTTGAGCACAGAAATTCCTATTTTGTAAGCTAGCCTGTATTTTTCTCATTTCAATCGTTTTTGTGGAATCCCCTTCGTTTCCTATTTCTTAACGCACAATTAAACAGGCTTCACATAACTTTCCTGCGGATTTTCTATAAAATTTAGTTCGAATTATTATATTTCTATTGATTTCCAAACATTAGTTCGTTATTATCATCATACGCTGTGGCGTTTGTCAAGTGTTTTCTCTTAAGCATAATGTACAAACATTATTTCTCTTCTCTCTTACTATTTCTCTCTATTCTCTTCTGTACAAACATTATGGAGAGTTTGTAGTGTTATATCATAAGCATTGCATATTTTGTAGCTTGTGGGCGATTTTCAGGCTAATGTATGCATGAAGTTTCTATTTATCTAGCTTCCAGGAGCTTATATAGCTCTTTCCCACGTTATATTACCTTATAGTTATGTCTTGCCAGAAGCACTCATTTGTACTCGTATAGCATTCGCTTGCTAATGTAAATGAGAAAGAAATCGAAAGTCGTTGTGTTGTGTTTAAAATATAACTATTTCTATGGTTGATATTTCTATTCATTTTCTACGGGACCGTGAAATCATCATTCATCGCGCACTGCTTTGAGAATAATGCGTGAATACTCTCGAGTATTAAAAGAAAATTTTGCATCCACTTGAGTTTATCAAACTTTCGTTTTCAAACACAAGTACAAACCTCAGATTCAGGTTTTGTCAGATATTTCAACAACTTACGAATCAACACATACATTTATAATTTATAATTACTCATACTAGACTTATTTCCTTCAGCTGGCATCGTCTTCAGAGGAAATTTCTTTTGAATTTAGAATTGCTGAACTTTAATGAAGAAAGTACTTAATAAAAATTTTGAGAGCGGGCCTTACAAGGATTTAGTGACATTAATGTGGAAAAGTCCTATATTTATAAAATTATTCATTTTTCATTAAGAGATAGTAAATACTATTCAAATTTGTAAAATTGTAAAGCCCATAATTTGATATGACATTAACTGGGCTTATTTCTTAGAGCCGTAATCTAAAATATTCTCTCGTCTCGCATGTTTACTAACGCATCGTCTATATCTATGAGAATAGAATTTAGAGTTGGTAGAGTTGGTTCCAATGCTTACTATGAATGTGGCCGCAGCTTTAACGCATATCGTGAAGCATTTGTTCAGTTGAATAGTTTGCAGTATCACTCCGTCATCATGCGTAACTTTCGATCTCAACGTTATGTTTAGTTACCTAAGTTTTATTGGCCAAGCCCTGATTATAATAATAATTATATAGTCGGAAAACGTGAAGACTATCGCGTAGGATGGTTAAGTAACCCACTATATGCTGAATAACGGATTTAGAGGTTACAATCAATATCAGTTTTATATGAGACAATTCAGTCACATAAAAGTTAAATCAGTTATATAAAAGTTGGAATTAAAGAAATAAATGCATGACTTTTTTGTGTTATCTCTGAGACCGCAGAAAACTACTTGTATTCAAATAATTGGTTTTCTGCAAACTTGCTTGATTGGGAAAAACTTCGACTGGCTTGAATATTAAACCGGGTTTTTCAAATAATAGATTATTGATTATGCCTTGCACCACGTCTTGATGATTAAAAACATTCATCTAAAATTCAGGGAAATTTTCAAATTTGATCGATTTACACTCTAGGCTGTAGATTGTACTATAATAAAGCATATATGCAACGCACTCGACTCGAGTGAAACGAATTCTTCGTATAAATTTTTTTATAAATTTTATAGGGCGTAATTGGAGCCTAAAATTTAATAGTGCCCTAAAATAGGGCGAAAAATTTAATAGTGAATGCATGCACATACGAGGAATGCCACTTAAACTGCAGAGTGTGTCGTCGCATGTTAATTTCAAAGAACATTTTAAAACTAATTTAATCTTGAGTGTAAGTAGTTTTCAAAATCTGTAATTCAACTGAAACACTCAACACTTTAAATGCAAGGAAGAAATGTTCTGTTATGGGCATGTGAGAAGCAATGACTTCAATATTGTGTTCAATTGAGTGGGAAGTTCAATTCAAACGGTGCACGAGTTGATTAGTATGGCTTCGAGTTTCCTGAAGTTTTCTTCATCACCGGATTTCCATCGACGATGACATATTCCGAATTTGTCAACTGCAATTTCCTGCAATGAGTTAATTCATACACGATCGAGTTATTGCATGTAATGACTAGAGAAATGTGGCCCCAACATTGCAGCTGAATCACTTCATGAAGAAATACATTAAAATGATTCCATTTGAAAATCAATTAAAGATGATTATAGGGAAAACACCGATTTCTTTGATAGTTCTGACTTTTAATAAAAAGTATAACAGCACACGCTGATTTTCATTGAAATGAAGGCTGATATAAGTTAGAAACTTTTATTTCCGGAACTTTTTTATTTTTATTAATTTAGAACTTATTAGACTCCCCGTTTAACTTCAGCAAGCTAATTTGATCCACGATCATAGAGTGCACGCATGCTGCTTACAAATAATATTATTAGTAATAATATACGAATAATGATGTTTAAAAAATTATCAGTGGCAATATCAACAATACTAACAATGATAACAACAATAATTATTATAATGATACTAAAATAAAACCATCTTATGAGAAAAATGTCGCCATCTCGAAGAGTGTCACAGGAAATTCTAAGAGATAATAAGACCGACAGGATATCGTGCTCCGAGTAGAGCTGCCTCGCAGCATATAAGAGGGGCGACATATCGAGCCCTGTGAATACAGTGTACAGCGATTAAGTGTTAAGAGGTCGACACGGGTTCTGACGCAGGCATGTTGATGTGGATACTGGAAAAGAATTTTCTGTTAGAGCCTTAGAGTCATTCAGTTGTCGGAAGTATACCGGTGTCTTTGAGTCTATATGTCTGTTCGAGAACTGTTACTGCTTTTTCATGTGTAATCGTTTATAGTCAGCTTCCTAGGGGCTAACAGTTTAACACTTAGAAAAATCGTATGACCAATTCTGAAAATAAAAGGGAGAATCAACTAAGCCATTCCAATCGGTTGGAGAACGTCAGTCTGTGGAAATAACGGAAAATATCGTCGAATTTTTCCATAGTTGGAGACGATATTGTATCTTCATTGATACTATCCACCATGAAGCTGGTAAGATTTATTATATAAGCCACTCCCGGAATACAGAGTTCAGTTTACTCTAAATAACTAAGCAGAAACGTGATATTTCTGTTCGTGTATTTATACGTCTTTGTGTAAACATTGGCTAAGAATCTATTTGAAACAAATTGTTTTTACTGAAAATTACATCCTCTTTAAACAATTTCCTTTATATGAGTTTTGAAACCTGTAAATATAAATTGATTTCCTATTAAAGTAGAAAATTCCATTACTTCAGATATAAAATAATTGATTGTGCACTCTTCAACAGTTGTTGACTGCGCTGGTGGTCGTGGCATGGACTGCATGCGTGAGTGGCAAGCCAACTGCACGAGAACAAGAACTTGTTTCAGGCGTTGATGCAAGACCTGTTAATGAGGAAGACAGTTTGTATGACGCAGATCGACGGGCAATCCTTGCTAAAACGAAGAGAGCTTTTGGGGCGAACTCCAAGGTGGGAATACCTGCTGTGTATACTGGGAAATCCCTTGCGGACTACAATGAAGTCCATGATATTGAAACTAACAAAGTTTCAGATTCTCCCGCTAGAAGTACTCAAGAAGCGAAATTCAAGGTTTCTCCATTCGAAGAAAATTTCGCCAATGATAGCGAAAATTCATCCAAAACTCAGTCTATGAAGGTGGAAAAAGCAAAATTAAAAGATTATATTGAGGGAAATAAATTGACAATGGAGTACAATAGTCCAGAAACGGAGCTCAAAAGGCTAGTGAAAAATAAACCTCCTGCAAGGCGTCGTGTGAATAGGAGAAGATCTTCATTAGGCAAGAGACGCAAGTTCTCGTGGTTGAACTAGAAAAGATTTCCGTAATAATCGGGGCTGAGTGATTTAAATGCCTCAATAATAACTAATTACTGTCATAAATAATTAATTGATGAAGGACAAAGAAATAATTTATATGCATCAAGATGCCTACAAAATTGGGCTAATTTATTCATTAATGGTTCCATCTTCAATATTTTATGTTTCTTTTTTAAAAGGTAAACATTTGCAAAGACACAGTCAGTGGTCCTTATCAGTATTACAATTTATTTAATTACCATTTAGAGGGCTGATCTCTATAAATTATATACTATAGAAATGATATATTACATAATATAGGAAACATAACTCAATATTTTGCCTCTATACTGCCTTGCTTGTGCCTGTAGACTGTCACTAATTCAGGAGCTACTCAGAAAAAAAACACATGTATAGAAAATGTTAAGATAAAATCGCAAGTGTATTGTATACAAAAAAGTGTTATGTATATTAAAAATATTTGCAATAAAAAATTCTGTTTTAAAACAAACTCATGGATCATTTAAAGATCGATTTCTTTTAGGTAAGAAAAAAAAGCTTATAAAATATCACCAGGAGCTTCATAGTTCATTAAATTTGAGTTTATTAAATTCTTCATTCTCACAAAATTTTGGACGATTTTCTACATTGTATTCGGAATATATATTAATAATATGAAAAATTATAAGTTAAAATACTTTGGAATGAAAACATTTCCCACCTAAGAAAGATTACCTAGCCATTAGCGTGAGAGAGAACTTTGCTGTATAATCTCGATGTTTTGCTCAACTTAAGCTTAAGAGAGAACTTTGCTGTATAGTCTTGACCTTTTGTTCAATAGCCATTATAGCACGAGAAAGAACTTTGCTTTCATCATCGTCCTTCAGCTCAGTTGCAGTGAAAGCGTATATGATCACGCATTCCACCAAGCAAGATAGAATTTTGGCTTAAAATTTCGAGTAATGGAATTGGCAAATTATAATTTTTGCTCGTCTCTATATGGATGAAATAATCATTTGGCGCAATTGTTTGAAATAGACAATTTCCGAGCGCACAGGAATTAGTAGCTTATTTTATTTATTCCATGGTGGACCAGAAACTTCTGGGCCTCGCATGATACCAGAAGATCAACAGTTCTGCTGCATATGTAAACGTCGCTCATTAAGCCACTCGTTTTGCCTACTGGCAACCAAACTGCTGTTAAAGACATTTTTCTTATTTTCGGTAAATAGAAGACACGAGCTTTTTCTGCATCCCATTCCTAAAAGCTGAAAGCTGTGTTAGACTTATTATGAGACGCACTCGTAAATTAAACTATAATTTCAATTGCGTAGATAAAAATGTGCCGGAATAAATATTTCTATAACAAAATTATAAACATTTTAGTGGACTTCAATGCATTTGGTGAACTTGACCTTGGTACGTGTACTCACTATATATAGACTGCAGTTAGTAAAATTGTCACACAACCTGACATCTCTCTTTTAATTTCAATATAGTAGTTCGTTCCACAACGTTTTTTATAGAATTTGTGCTGCTGCGTGTTATTTGTTTTTCTACGACCTGAAAATTTCCATAGGTTATATACTATAATTCAGAGTCTCTTTTGAAACTATGATGAAGGCTAATAACGAACTTCAAAGAGGTATATAGTAAAAAGGTGAATTTTCTGACAGTGAGATTTGATATTTCAGTGGATATTTAATCATTTAACATATCCAAACAATCAAGTACGCGTATGTACAATATATTTTACAATAATAACTTTAAGTATTCGTTTGGCATACCCTTTTGACGGTTATGTTCGTTCCCTCATCACGGTTTTGTTGGTGAAGTGTAGATGTATTGTTGAAGAATCAGGTTAAAAACGAAGTTCCGATCGTCATTGTTATATAATATAAAGTGAAAACTCGGCCACATGTTTAAAATTATGTATTCTTCAACAGAGTCAAAATTTGTATTACTTAAACATTCTCATCTTGCCATAGGCTATATGATTACTTCTTCTTGTAATTCAGCCAATTTATAGAGTAACTATTTTTACTCACCTTTTTTTGACTTTTAATTCTTTTTACTCTCATCAACGTAGTTTACTATATGAGGTCTTCTGTAATGACCCAATTGTACGTATCATTCCATATTATTAGTGTTATTTGCATCAGATTACTTTATATAGGATTTCTTGGCTGGGGAAAATACGTTTTATTACATGACCTCCTTGGGGGTCACTGGGGTTCATTAATATGCCGACACGGTCAATTTTGCGAAGAAAAGAACAAACATGTCACATGCAGGGAGAAAAATTTCTGCGATTCCCTGCTGCATGTACAAGATTAGAGAACTCTGGGGTTCCCAGCCGATAAGCAGGCGTAAAGTTGCCAGCACAGAGCAAGAGCTCGGTGCGTGGCACATCATCTATTGATAAGAAGAGTGGGAAACGTCGATAATAGCAACGATAAGACATACTTTATTGCAGTTATTATACGTGGATATATTGCAGCTTTAAGGCGACATATAATCAATCGACGAGTTAGTCTGATTAACATCAGCGTATGTTATTGATTTAATGTTAGTAGGTGGCTCCCTGGATGTGTTGAAATCGAGTTGAATTAAAATAAGGGAGGAAATGTTCAGTTTTAGAATGGTCATTACAGTCTTAATAAGTACATGTTTTACTTAATACTTAATAAGCACATATTTTCTATTGAACAAGTATAGTCTCGCATAAAAAAAACATATATGCATGAGCGAGAGTGCCTTCGTGCATGGCAGTGGAATTCTAATACGCAAACAAGGCGAGATTTTCTGAAACTGTAAAACTTAAGGTTTCTTATGGAATAATAAAACATTGAAAAATAATGGTTTGTTTATAAATTTGAAAATTTATTGACCGTAATTTAGCTGAATTGGGTTTAAATTAAAAATGCAATAATAGAATTTCCACCCTATTTTGAATCGTTAGTGAAAGGGCCGAATGAAATGTTGTTCAAACAAGGAATTTTTATACAAAAGCAATATAAAATATTTTTTATGCATACGCAATGCTTATATAAGTTAGTTTAAGAATTATTATTATTCCTTAAGAGATGATTTGATTAAGGAATTCTTCAAACACAGGAACCGTCTATTACGGTCAACGACAGAATTACCTGACTGCTTATTTAATATTTTAGACCAGAAGTCGTTACCGGCCTTTCTTTGCCATTAACCTCTAGATAGAATATATGTTAACGCCGACTTTCTCCCAGCATACATAAAATTGGTGAAAAAACTTATTACATCATTATATTGACATTATTTATGATCAACAATAAAGCGAAATGTCATAAAGATCTAATCAAATGAAGATTAGGTTGAACTTTAATCAATGTTTGAAAATTAAGTCCAAAATAAACAGGTCAAAATGCGAAAATGAAGAGGAAAAGATTTACCTACCTAAAAAGAATTTCGATTCTTGAAATCTTAAAATTTATTCATTTATAGAAAGTGATGTGACTTTAATTATACATAAATACTGTGGTGCTGATGGGAAGGCCGAACATGATGAGCGTCAGCCAAGCTGGTTATAGATTTGGTTTAACATCGTTAAGCTTCAACCGAAAATCACGATGATTTTTAAAGTCAAGTCCATTTCACTGCTATGTGAGAATTGAATGGCGAAAACCTGCTTAACCAAATATGTAGCTGCGAAGGCTAGCAAATATTTAGGCATTTGCTTCAAACTCGGGATATTCATTGGCACTACCGACATGAATTCAATATCCATCTAGGGTTTGATGTCCAAACCACGCATTTGTTTCCAGATCTAGGCACATTGCGATGCGATAAGCTCATCAGCTATGCAAAATTTACCATCATTGTCAGTTTACTGATCAAATATGATGACAAACTATTTGACAAAGTGCATAATTTTCCAAATCCTAGAAACTTCTTATGGTGTTTTTAAATCAACTCTTAATTTTTGCATATTTTCAAAATTTTTCTCTAATTCACTGTCAGTCAAGCTATCAGACTCCTTCATCATTCAGAAGTTGGACAGGTATTTGAAATTGTTAAGTTCCGTAAGACTTTTAAATTGCTTCTTAAAATCAAAATTGAACATCACGCTAGACACATCATGCCTCCCACTACCGGCGTTCAAAAGTCCGTTTTTACGGGTCAAATCCGTTTTCCGGCGAATTCGCGAATGCCAGCAGCTGGGCAGAGAAACATTTAGGGCTGACTGCACGGTGATGCGCATCACCGCCGCGCACGACTGTGATGTGGTATCCAGCAGGCGACCGATTACGCGATGACGGCGGTGAACGGCGGAGAACGGCGGTGAACGGAGAAGAACGGCGGTGAACGGCGAAGAGCGGCGGTGAGGTAATTACCGTAAACGACGGTGAGCGGCTGTATTCCGGTAATGACAGCTTCAATTACCGACGACGGCATTGTGTATTGGGTTTGCACCCGGTCAAATAGCGACAAGCATTACTTCAACAGAAGATGTTTTTACGCTGATTTTGGGTGCCTTATTATTTTCGTACTGCAAAAGTTTTGGCATAATATAATGGTGACTCATGCAGAAACAAGCATGTGTCCATTTACAGATTTTGTTATTGATACGAGCATAGAATTAAAAAAAATATTATATGAGCAAACAAATAATTTTTTTCCTCAATAGGAGTTAAACAAAGGCTAAATCATTGGTTATAGCACTGACAAATTTAGACGAATAACCAACGAGTTTTAACGCTCCCTATACAACCTAAATAAAAACTGTCATATTAATAAAAAGTAATCTTATGGTTTTCCCATTCCTTTGTACCTGCACTGCAGTACGTTATAGATCTGATAATGGAAGGAAAGCCAGTGTTTTCGTATTGACGTCTCCAAGAATGCTCTAATGGCAAATTTTTTTACATAACTATTCCAATATATGCCCGGCTATTAATTTTCTTAATAAAAGTTTTTTTTTGTAGATTTATGACGCCTTAAGGGAATTTGGGGAAATTAAAACCAAATTTTTTAGATGTAAGTATTTTTATTGCAAGTTAGATGGGTGCACAGCTAACGTTTCTCCTAAAATTTAAATGACACTGGAGATGTTTTGAATAAAACAGAATTGAGGTCAAACAATTTAACGCATTGTGTTTGTAACATTTCCACAATCGAATGACCAATATTTAGAAAGATTTTACAACTTTTAAATGTTCAAACATCCTCGTAACATCACACGAGAGTGTACGTGGCGCGGAAATTCATTTTCGCAGGCCGGGCGTTGATGAGAACGTTCATGCGGTTGCCTACGGAGGTCAGGGTTTTTGCCGCTTCGTTTCTACAGAAGCGATTGTTGCCGGCCGTATATTTGTTTTTCATATCATAGTCAGGCAGGCCTTGGGTGTTCACTACAACGTAGTTCTTCCTGCAGTTGAGGCGTTGGAGATCAGCTTCTTCAAACTTCAACTCGATTTTGCGGCCTGCGGGAGCCTGAAGAATAGTTCTATTTTATATCAAAACATCAAATTCAATTTACTTAGAGCTGCATGTATTTGATAAATAATGTTGTTATAAAATAAGGACTAACGTTCGTCAATTATTTTGAAATTGTGCTTATTTTTAGCATCGCAACCTCCACGTGACTCATGCAATTAAGGTAAAACAGTTGACAATAATTATTCTGATTATAAACGCTAAAATTATTTCAATATTAAACTGCAAACAATAAAAGACTAAAAAATTACAACATATTTACACAAATCTGTGCATTTAAACACTAACCAATTTGTTGTACTAGTTACATAATGTAGCTTGAATGTATGATGTCCCGGTTATATTGTTATGCTCCTCCAGACTTAAGGATTCATGACTAAGTGCGTGAGTGATAAGTAAGACATCATCTGTCTGGAAAACTTATCTTGATACGGGGTGGTAATATGTGAGTGATACAATACAGGTAAAGCTAAGACGTGGACCGTTAGGTTGCATTAGCTCTAACGCGAGTTACATCGTGGAGTGCGTACTTGTCAGCTTCTGCGGAGTCCTTACTAAGGTTCCCAGCCCTTTTATAGATCACGGCTGATCGGGTGATTAATCACGTGATGTCCAGGCGCTGACTCAGGTCTAGTACTTTTCCATCAATCTCTATCAAGTCAAGTGAATATCGAGTCTCAATTATACGGATAATCATATCTTATAATATACTTATAATGAATGTAATGAGACGCCAGATTGACACCGGACAATGATGTATGTGGTGAATAAAAATGTTGGCTCTCCTCTAGCTTACCTTAAGCCACCATTCGCACTGCGGCTGCGATGCAAAATTTCCGGGTAATTCCAACGTGCCAGACCCCCCTTCGGGTATGGAGATTATCTGGAGCAAATATTTAATAAAAATCAACAACCATCATTCAGCAACTCATTTTTTAACAACCATGCAATAGACCTATTAAATTTTTTATAGAAATTCATAATCTATGTGTTTATGTAAATTAGATTTTCTATATATTGATGCGTAAAATAAACTGTTGATAATGTGTGCGATTGAGATACATTATAAAAGAAAAATTCATGGTAGACAAAAATCGAATCCAAGTATTTCCAAATTTTCGTATTTTTAAAGCCATGTTTCGTTTTTAAAACTGTTGGAATTGAAACAAGTTTTCAAAATCAAATGGAAATTGGTAAAGATATTTTGACTTACGCGGTTGCACTTGTTGGTAAGAACCTCCAGGTCGATCGTGAAATTTCGTCCCTGTTTCACCTTGGCGGCTCGAAACGTGATCTCCAGTGCGGCCGTCGGATACAATTCCGATCTCGTGTAATTTTTCGTCAACCTGAAACAGTTCATGTAATTAATTGTTTATGACATTAATAAGGATCATTTAATGCGAATTACCAAGTCATTGGTTTGTTGCAAATATATAATACAGGCGAAACTTTCAATAAAACAATCTCAGAGAGAAAGAAATGGCTTCAAATCAAGATAAATACTAAATCATAGAACTAGAAATTCAGTCTTTATTTTTCGATTAATTAATGTCCATCGAACGTTTCAAGTATACTAGATGTAATTTTACAACAAATTATTGATCTAGCAGTGATTGTAAACCTCGATATCCACCTGAACTTTTGTTCCGACTCGCTGAAAAGATGACGAATATACAGGGTTATTTAAAATGATGTACCCAATTTAATAAACTCGTATTATTTGAGTATAGATTCAAAATGAATAATTGGTTACCGTTTAGATGTTTGCCGTGAAACTCGAGGGAGACATATTGAACACTTATAAATCTGTAAAAAATGGAATCTTTCACATTCCATTGATGGATGAATTATTAATTTTGAATTTATACATATGCATATATGAATTTATTAACTTGGGTCCATCATTTTGAATAACCCTGTAACATAATTCAATATTAGAAGTATTTCATTGTTATATGTCACTGTTGATAAATAGAATGATTGACACATCCGTTACTTTACCTGAGCGTATTCTTGTACGGAGACTTGATGATCAGTCTGTCATCGACGCCAAGGCGCTTCACCGACGGCGTCACTTTCATCAATCGCGGTCTTTTCTGGGATACGCGAAGCTTAGTTAACATATGAATTATATGCTAAAGAAACGAGCGAAAATGTTGCATAACTATAATAATGTTATAAAAGAGTATAATAATCCATAAATAACCACTCATTTGTTATTCAGTAAATTTCCTTGATAAAGAAACAATAAATACGATGGTAGTCTTACCGGCGTGATGACGATCTTGCACCGTTCATTTGGCTTGTAGCGTCTGGGGTAGTTAGGACTGAGCAGTTGGTAGTGTGACGGAGAAATTGTAAGGAGAGTGCATCTGCCAGAGATGGTAGCGTTGAAGTCGGGAGTTACTATGACTGGGATCTTCGTGGTTGTGGTGGTAGGAGTAGTAGTGGTAGTGGTGGGAGGCGTGGTTGTGGTAGTGGTGGGAGGCGTGGTTGTGGTAGTCGTAGGAGGCGTGGTTGTGGATGTCGGGAGAGAAGTGAAAATAGTAGTTGTGGATGCGGAAGTAGCGGGAGCAGTGGAAGTGGCGGTAGTCGTAGTTTGGAAGGAAATGGTAATTGGAGGAGGCGTGGTTGTGGATGTCGGGAGAGAAGTGATAATAGTAGTTGTGGATGCGGAAGTAGCGGGAGCAGTGGAAGTGGCGGTAGTCGTAGTTTGGAAGGAAATGGTAATTGGGAGGGCAGTGGTTGTAGTGGAGGTTGATTTGGTTGTAGGAGTTGTTGTAAACATAGTTGGGATGGTATCTAAAGTTGGCTCAGTTAAAAATGTTGCAGTATCGAAGGCCTCAGTTGAATCGGTAGTTGGTGGAGGAGCTGTTGATTCGGCAGTACTCAGCGTCACTAATGAGTCTATTGTAATCAGAGGTTCAGGCGTCTGACCGATTGATGTGGTATCTGGAATGTTTCGGAAAGGTGTTGAGACAACAGGGAAAGATATGAAAAGCTTTAGAGATTTCCATGAAGTGCGTCCTGCTGTTAGGCACAAAAAAATAAAAGTGGATTCAAGTTACGTTTGAAGATTAAAGTGTATGACAGTCAGAAGTTGGTTGCATTCAACGACGCAGAAGGACCTATTATATGGCGAGAGTCGCCATAGAAACAATAAATGCCAGTTGAAGAGGAGACTAAATTTAGGGCTGATGCTTCAAATTTTGTAGGAATAGGAGGGCCTTTTGATGAACTAAGACTGTAAATTTTAAATATTCCCATGAATTGACTATAAGAGGAATTGAATGTATCGTGTAGGGTAGTTTTGTTGCAATTTCCCAAGTAATTTTGAACCTATTTAATATATTGTTGTTTAATATCCGTCACGGAAGCATTGATCGTGTTCTAAGGTACGGTTATAATATATGATTCGAGAGATAATAAAGTTGGATGATAAGAGAGACTATTTACTCTGATTGCCTTTTCTGGAAATGTAACTGATTTTAGGAGTTCTGGAAGTGGCGGATGCTGGAGTCCAGGTAGGCCCAACTTCACAATTAGTTCATATTTCTTTCCGTATGTAAACACGGTAGAGTGCATAGAAGCCTATGAAGTCAATTGTTCAAAGCCCATAGCGCCGGATGTCCATAGTCACCGCTCAAGCATGACCAATAATTAAGCATGGTCATACTGCATCTCGCACAGCCTCTTCGGGCCTAACCTACCCAAGTTGCAACATTTATCCACACAAAATATAACTTAGTGGACCTAACCTGAACTCGTTGGCTGCAGGAGGCGAAAAAAGACGGTTCAGGTGAGATTGTAGAGCCATGCATTGATTGCAAGACGGTTGTGAGCCGGGACAGCGTGAATAGGTTAGGCAGAAGGGAGTTGGTGCACCCGGATGCAGAACTACCCTGATAATGAGCGACCATGCTAAAGCATCGGCTGAAGAGCTACGATGTTTCCATCATTCAGCAGTGTGTCATTTAGTCTGGACTCTGGAGTATGGTGTTCCAGCGTATTCTGCTACTTCTAGTTCTGTGGCTTAGAAAAGTTATTGCATGCTAGGTTGGGCATTGCCGCCATGGCTTATGTTAAATTTGTGGCCTACGGCTGCGCCTTCGTTTTAGACAATTTTGTGGGTTATTTATTGTGAGTTGTACAGCAATCAAAATCATTTGGTAATTGTCCAGAATCTCCTTGATTACCAAAATCATTTGGTAATCAAAATCATTCAATTAATCTTGTTAAGAATGCACACCTCAGTAATGTTCTTGTCAAGAATATGCACCCCAGTAACGTTTAGGTTGCTTATTCTTGTCAAGATCCGACATTCTTAATGAAGTAAATTGGAAAAGATCAAATGAAAGTTAAATAGTGTGAGTCCTGAAGTGCTGCCAAACATGATTATGCTTACAGGATACATCGCTAAAACTATTCTTCTGTATGGTGCGAACCCGGCCATTTGGTAGTAGTTATGGTGTGGACCCGGGCTTATTCTAACGACCATTCCGTCCCTGCACAACTTGAGGATTTGATCTCACCTTGGCCAATTCTGTCGTGGACATCTTTATAGTGACCTCTTCGCCTGGGATGGACTTGGACGGCTCTGCGTTGACGTAGTAACTCCCGATGAATCTTCGTCAGTTCGCCTTCAAAGGAGTCCCGGTTGTATTCCACGTCATGATGTGGCTTTTGAAGAAATCGACTCGTTATCTATACATAGTATAGCATTAAGAATATCATTTGGTGTAGTTCATACTTTTAACCTTTGTATGTTCGAAATGAGAGATCTCAATTCCTTCCGATGGATTAAATACCAAGTTAAATTAATGTGAATCGTTAATTCCGACTCTCTGAATCAGTACATTTTAAACTGTGGTGGAAAATTTGTAACACATTCTTTTATCTAACAAATAAAATTTTTCCCAACAATCTCAACCATTTAGCGGTAACCTAGTTCAAATCAATTTCATTTACATGAAGTACCTTTATAGATGCGACTGAAAGCAATAAAATCGAAAGTATTTGAAGTCGGGTTAGAGCCAGCATCTTGCTTAGGAACCTCGTCTTCCGTTGCGTGTTCCCAACTAAATGAACAAGAAATTTTTAGTCTCTTTATGCATGCTGTAGTTAGACTTTTCTCAGCCTCAGGTGTGTCCAGGCTAACCTGCTTTCCATAATTCATTAATGAATGCTCAATAATTCATATGACGTTCAGAACAAACAATTTCAGAACACAATAGGAAGGTCATGTTTAATCGAATATTTTATGAGAAAATCTTGCCCAGTATATTATTGCGTCTAAGAAATGCAGGTTAATTTTGTTTATTCACAGGCTTTCTTTCGGCAAGTGTCGTGAATGCAAGCGCGAATGAAACAACGCTTTTGATATACGGATGTGGGCAGATGCAAATTTACATGCACGTGTAATCTTGCATGTTAGGTGATGAAAAGAAACATGATTGCATTTCAGAATATACTCTTCCTTTTCTGCTTTCCGTCCTTGATCCAGTTCTTACAGAATATGATCGTATGTAATTTCAAGCACTTCACAACCTCTATGAAATTGCTTGGTTCGGCTATTCTGATTTCGTTTTTAGAATTTAATTCGAGTTCAAAGTTTAATGCTTCAGTGAAGCGTAGAGCGTTGCGATTCATCAATTGAACTGTTGGGGTTTCTCGTCTGTGCGTTGGTAACTTGTTAGGACCAAAAGGGAGAGTGAGTATGCATGCCATTTATGCACAACTAATTTAATTGATCCAGCGAAAAGTTTAAATTGAAGCCCACATTACTTTACGGCAGATATTAGTTGAGTTGTAAACGATTTTAGTTCTTTGGTTCATGATATGTAGTGAGTTCAAAAACTTGAATTAATAACGAAAAATTATGTATCTGTATGATTTCGTAGTAAAATGTGACATAAATGGCTGAAATTGTACTTCTTATGTGATAAATTCGACATTTTTGTAAGATATCTGCAGCAATCTTTTAACCTCATCAGTGAAGTCAACGCTTCATACCTCAAGTTGCTGATCATGCACGAGGCTTATTATTTTCAGTGAAAATTCCTATATAAATGAATACGTACTCGACTACAATAGGCTCAAAACGCAAATGAAGCTAGAAAATATATTTTATTAACACAGAAAAAATTTCTACCAGTTAATGATTTCATTTACTTGTAGAAAATTCGGAAATATTGTGGACTCGCAACAAAAATTTTTCTGAGCAAAGACTTTTTAATTAAATGAATTTCATATAATATTTTTTATAAATCATGATACTCTTGGGCGTTTGCGATGAAAATACTTCTCAGTGTTGAATACTTTACTTAAAGTATTTACTTACCCTTAAATTTGTTCTTCTTGGTAGAATGTTATTGTTATGACTTTTTATTGACTCTTTAGTTTCCGTCGCCGTGAACTCCCTGAAATGAATTAATTACTTTTTTTTAAAGAATAACTCGTCATTTAGATTTATGAACCCTAATTGAATTAATTCGCAAGTTTTGATAACATTATGCAGCCTTCTAGTCGAGTTTTCCTTATCTCCTGTCCAGGCTAACCTCCTGTTTGAAACAAACAGGACTTGAGGCATAGCAAAATATGTCATAATTTTCACAAGTTACCTTTCTCCTGCCAAAGCGGAAGACTAGATTTTTGATAATCGAGTATAGTAATAAATTATCATTGGATTCTGAGCTTGTCATATGAATTTAAATTGACTGAGATTCTCAATCGCGCATTGCAGCTGGCACATGCATGGTGAATTTATGTACATAAGCCATTTTCATCGTTGCCTTCTAGTATCAAGCAAGCAGCATGAAAAAACCTAGCAATTTACAATTTTTAGCGGATAAGAAATGTGAGCATTTTAAAGAAAAGGTTTTCGTAACTAAAAGAATATGCGATTACAAAATCATGAAATCTGAGGGGAGCGCAGTCGATCGTCGGCCACAAAGTACACTCTTTAACAAGCTTTGTAACAAACGCTCTTTATAAAAATGTCTAACTAAACTCAGCTTCAGAGCTACGCTAGACCGCTAGAAACACCACGAAGACCACGCTAGAAACACCACAATACATACCTGGGGCCGGATTATCAAAACATCGTTAAGAAAACGTATATCTTCTATTACTATACGCACAAGAAGTTACGAAATGCTTAAGTACACCCAATTTTGGCATTATCGAAACATTCGTATGAAGGACTTAATATAAATGAAACGACAAGAAGCTGGAGAAACTAGTTCTTCGACCGGCAAAAGTCGGTTTCCGACGAACATAATTTAAGGTTCAACCCTATCGTTGAACTTAATTCATAAACCAGATAATAAAAAAATGAGGTTGGTTCCATCTCATGTTTAATTTTATTACTGTATTTTCCAAGTTCAAATAAGCGAAGGAAAGGCTGCGTGAGAGGGATGCCAAAAGATTAGAAATGTGCCATCAATATATCTATGACAAAATACGGGCTTGAAATAATTCGAGCAATATGCATGGGCAAGATAAGAAACTTGATGAAAGCACATGCTTTTCTCGTATTTTTCTCGTCTGTTTTCAATCTCTTCATTTTTGTCTGTTGAGAGACCTAGCGATAAAGAAAGACTCGGTTATATGTCAGCCTGATAAAAAATTTGATTTTTATATTGTTGGTTCCACCTCCGGTGCCTCGGATTTGAAGTTTTTAAATCGTTGCATATTTTTTAAACCTTACCTTTATAGCAACACTAAATGTTCTTATCTACTCGAAATTGTTAAATCGATATATGTATTTATGTTCCAAACTCCGTATTTTTACGTACTTTTATATTATGTCTATCCTCTAAATTTAGCTTTTTGCCATTGAAAGTACTTGTAATCTGTAAATTTTTGAACTGTCATGGGAACTGGTCTCTTGAACGATGAAGAAACGATGATTATACTGTTTGCTTCTAAGGCCTTCGAACATTGGCGTAGGCCGTCTCTCTATTCAGTTGCTGTTTAAGCTTAATGACTCTATGTCAGATCAATTATTATTCATCAAAAACATTATTAGGTCTAAGAAAAAAAAATAATTACGGATTGAGTAAGAACATCTATACATTAACCTATAAGACTATGCGGCCTGTGTTGCATGGTAGTCTGACGTATACTGTGGCACCCTGCAGGCGCTTAATGGAGCGTAATGCAGAAGCAAATAAGCCTCTCATAGAAACATGCCAGAGATCACACTACCACCTGAATAAATTTAAATCCTGTGAAGTGCTACTGACTTATGTGTGAGATATTTGCTCACGAAGAAAAGAATGTTTGAATATTGTGGCCAAGCCATTATACGGTCATTCGAGGACATACGCTACGTTTTTCAATCTACGCGACATCTTGGACGAGTCTAGAGAATTGTGTCTACAAAGTCCTACTTGGCTAGTTTTATTCAAAGTTAATGGCACTTCATGGGATATTCAAACAAATTGTGCATCCTATTATGGCCCATAAAGTAAATATACGGCATCCGAAAAGTGTTAGAGAAAGTAAAATAATCATTGAACTATGTATTCACAAAACTGTGTGGACAATACTATCATGAACTGCTATGGAACAATATTTTTTTCTGATCAATGCTCTGAATGGGATGGACAGCTGAAAAATGTAGCAACTCTGCAGGGTCATTTCCCTGCCTATGCTCTACGGTTTTAGACATAAAATGGCATTAATTAATTTTCCTTTGGAAGCGGCGCAGAGACTGCCTACGGTGCTGCTGACACAACTCAATAGAATCTTTCGGCCCTGCTATTAGTTATATCTGAGAAAGAATAATTGCGTGAAGCAATTTGATGTGTGGAAATGACTGGTCTGCCGCTTCTAGCTTTTTCCCAGCCAAATGTTAGCATATGTGATATAAAGCCACTCGTGTCAATGCTGCTATGCACTTCAATTTTCATTGCCTCGATCATATTTCATTCTTTGGTCAAAGGATCTGAGTTTACCTCTACAGATGATTTTTTATCATACACGTCCATCCCCGAATTCACGCCGCAACAGTATAAAATCTGAACAAAAAATCCAATGTTTTCTGGCGAACACTTTAAATCAAAAGCAACAAAAAGCGAACTTCACGAGGAAGTTTTATTTTGACACGTATGATTAACTGCATACCTTACTCATGAATCCGAAACGATTGATGCGAAGTTAGCCCCGTTAAAACTGGTAGGGCTCAGTGTATTTAGGTGTTAGGGCTGAGACGCTCGTTCAGAGCAACCATCATGAGTTCCCTAGTGCCATTCCTTCTCGTAATCGCGCTCACAGATCTCATCTTGGGGGAAAAGGAGGACAGTCAACTTCATGAATTATCAGGTAAGCATTTGGACAAAAAAGCTGTGATCAAAAATTGTCTAATATGTAAATATAAATTACTGTACAATCTAGGAATCATTCTATGTCGTCCTTGCAGCTTCGCGAGGTGTGTTTCCGGGCGAAAAAGAGTACCCCGATGTCAAACATGGAGAAGCCAGAGAAGGGTAAGATTGCATAACTGCATAAGGTGATAATTTTAGTGTGGTGTTGAGGGGAAGTTTGAAGTTCAACAGTCGTTTTTTCGAATGCATTGATGGATTGTAAAGTTATTTTCTATCTCACTGGACGTAAAGTTTACGAAGGCAGATGAGGCTTTGGTGAAAAAGTGCGGCTACACGCTAAAATTCTGATGCCATTGTCTATTTTTTACGCAGAACTTCCCTCACCGATGCCACAACCCCCTCTACCACCACCATCAACCCCACCACTACCATGTCTAGCCTCATCGAGATAATCAACACAGGCACCATTCCTCTCGTGTCGTCTGGCAAGGGGACCTGCCGAGTGATCAGCAACGATTATTACACCTACATCCTGAGCCCTCGGTACCCATCTCCGCACCCGCCCAGCTCTTATTGCTACATCACATTCAATACGGTACGCCGTAATGTTTTCCATACATTAGTTACCATTGAATTGAATATGAAAAATTGAATTGAATATAATTATTAATTTCTGCCTGGTGTGAATTAACACGTTTAAAAGGTAAAATTAACACGTTTAAAAGGGAAGAAATTTTAAAAATTATTTTGGAATAATTCGCGGCAATTCGCATTTTTATTATTATTTTTTCTGTTAGAATGCTTATGATTTTATATTCATGATTCAATTGAATTTGCTTACATTTTTAATGTGAGGTTGAAGTAGAGGTTCAATTATAAATTCACGATCCAGGGAGGAGTATACTTTTGATAAATACTGAAAACATCGATGGTTTTACTTCAGACAGTTGCAGCCTATTTTATATATTTATCTTGAGCATTAATGTGCTCAAGATATTGATATATATATATACGTGCGCATCAATGTGCTCAATCTGAAGGTATTCTGTGATTCACTCTATGTTGTCCTTTGTACAACCATTCAACTTACTCGGCTATTGTTACTGGTTATTGGTCAGGTCGTACAGGTTATTGGTCGTACAGATTCAGGTTCTATTTCCATATGGTAAAAGAGTGNGCAATTTTGTAAATATATGCGCAGACCGAACCTCGTTTTCTGAGGTTCTTACCTGTGACCCCGAATTTTGGCTGGTTCGACTACATGGCGATCAGCGGCGTCTACAAAGATAAGAGAAGGTAAGTTAAAAAAAAATCTTCATTAATTCCCCCAAGAAAGTGAGCAACTGTAACCCAGTCAGATATTCAGAACAGTTCGCTTTGGCTAGTAGGTGTAGCGAGTGACTATAGGAGTGGATTGGGCGATTGACCTTCACAGTCAAATATTTTTTTGGTTTATGCGCAAAATTAGCCTTGATTTATCGATAGATATTATGTTGATGACATGTGCCCAATACCCTGGCATACCTCATTCAAAATATAAGTATCCTAATTGGAGGTACGACCGGAAAAAAAAATAAATCCAAAACATATGATTATATGATTATTGGCATATGATTGGCATATGATTATTCGCAACCACACACTGGTACAAAGTCAGACCCTACCCTACGTGAACCATGCGACATCCCGTCTATAAACACCCTCCTCCACTAACAAGCACGTAAAACCTGGGGTGAATACTTTCAAAACTCGCTAAGTGAACGTCTGTACTTACGCTCTAAATTCTTGTCTACAATTGGTGGGTTTTGCTTCAAAGGCGGTCAATGATTGCATGGCTGATGAACTTACGATCTCTTAACTTTTTTTGAAAGTATAGGACCTGGTCATCAAATTTTTGAGACCTTCGTGGAGAGGCGGCCAGAGATATTCCTTCGAATTTTTCTCCCGATGATACCCTTGCGCCACCTCCTTCTCTCACCACAAGCGTCTTGTTTAGAGCATCGGTGAGACGTCCTGGATTTCTGACTGAGGATAGAGAGGTTACATGAAAATCTATCACGAAAGATTATTGATATTGCAACTTGTGATATTGCAACTTGATGCTTTTGAGTGAGAAAACTTTTGAATTGAATAATAATATACACTGTGACCGTTCCAAATGTTCCATAATTTTCTAAGAACACATTCGTAATTTACCTATTAAATTGTAGAACTGGTAAGATGTCTTATATAGTGGTCAAGGCTGCGAATAACTTTCATAATCCGGTGTAAATCTTGCATCGAAATAAGTTTTGTTTATAACAATAATTATAAATATAATTTTCCAGTTTTTATGGGAAAGTTATTTAAGCTGTGCAATTAATTTTTCATTGACTTCAGCATAAACGGCCAGAGTACGTCTCAAGAAATTATTTTTCCATCTACGAGAGTCACTTTTGAGTATAGCGCTTTCTGGCTCTTCGATCAAAATCCGTTCTACATATACATGGAAGCAAAGAACAACGATTGCCAGCAGGTGTGGTTCAAGCAAGACGATTCGTCTACCTCATGGAAACTTCGAAGCTTTTTGCACTCTTGAGAAATAAGTGTTATTGTATTTATAAATCCCCCCTGTTTAAAGGGAACAGTTAGCTGTCGTTATGACTTTAAAGTCAAACCATATTACAACGACTACATATGACAAAAATTTCTGTCTACTCATACGCCTAGCAAAGCGTTACTACTTTGATATATTTTGATGATAATATATTGATACTTGTATGACGTGGCACAACGATTACGAAAATGTGAGATTAAAGTTATGTTTCTGTTCCTAGTTGATCAAACTTCGCGATGGAGCATCCGGTGAGCTTTATCTGCCAACTTCCTTCCCTACAAGTCCCTACTGTCAGTGGTGGATCAGGGTGAGTCAATCGAACCTTCATTTACGTTTTCAATGTGTTTTTTGGCTGATTAAATTATTTTCGTTAGTAAGACATAATTAATGATGATGGATGTTGATGGATTTGTAAGGATAGACGATGGATACGTTAAAAAATTGTATACATCTGTATTGTAGAAAATAAGTGTAACAGAATTGATAATATCTTCTAAATTAAGTTCTTGATAACAAACAAACTTCGCATATTGTCTACCAGTATGGGCTGATAGACAATTTTTCATATGCTGGGCTCATATCGTTGCCTTTACAATATCGTTATCATCAATCTCTATAAAACGGACTCTATAATCGGTTATTATTTCACCAGGCACCAGCAGGAAGACGAGTTTTCTTCGATGTTCTCGAGTTCTCCTCTGGCAGCAGCGACTGCAGTCGTTCCTACGCCCTCGTTAACTACGGGGGACTCGATTTCAACGGCCCATCTACCACGCGCCTCTGCGGCCAGAGCGTTACATCGGCCCTGTCGGAGGGCAATGAGATGAATGTGCTTGTCAAAGCAACGGTCGGCTCCCTAACAACATTCAGAGCCATATACAGTTTGATCTAAAATTGAATCCGACAAGTTTCCAAAATTTTATCTAAGCAAGGGGATTAACTTTAATTCAGAGTAAATGGATGTTAACATTTAATTTTTTCTTGGACATAGTATGCATATATACATTGAGACCGTTAATGCCTGACCTTCTTTCTAATCACTGTGAACTAGCTGAATGTGAAAGTCTATTCCGAAACAAGCACATGATGCCATTCATTACGAATAAAATTTCACAAGCAATTTCGTTTTTGTGCCTGTTGCAGAAAGATTAGTTGTCGAAAACATAAACACGCTCAGTCACGAGATTATTTTAATTAAAAGAGTAAGTTTTTAGTGTACGGTATTCTTGAGAATCATCTTAGAATGTTCTTTTGCGTTAAATTTTGTGTCACGGAAGTAGTTCTTAAGTGAATATTTAAAACCTTTTTATACTTAGACATGCATAAAACCTTTCGCACATTAGTAGTATAGTATCTTCGGCATTGAAGAATAGGCCTGGATAGGCCTGTCATTAATTCCTTTTGCATAATTTAGACGCCACAAGGAACCAATGGCATGCTGAAAACCAAAGTTTCGAACAATAGCATCTTTAGTTTACATTTTGTTCAATTTTTGGCTGCCAATATTTCATAATAGGCTGTAATAAGCCCTACAAAATATATTAAGTATCAGCGTAGAAGACAAAGAAATATATTAAATATCAGCACCTTTTTGCGCCAATTACAGTGTAAGGGAAATTCACCCTGTATGATTTCAGTTACTTGAATTTATTTTGTGTCGTAAGTTTTACGGCTGCTTGTAGGGTTGGCAACCGTGCTATTTGATGACGTGGCGTTACCGGCCTAAAGCCCGTGTTAGTTCGTCTCATTCGATTGCTGTTACTTGGTCGGAGCGTACCTACTGTCACTATTTTCGAATGCACCTGCAGCGTCCCTATTAGGTGGGTGTTAGTGCATTTGCTTCTGTTTAATGTTCGAGTTTGAATATAGTGTTTAATATCTTTGCCGTGTACCATCTTTGCCGTGTACCATCTTTGCCGTGTACTACCATTGCCGTGTGCTACCATTGCAGTGTACTACCATTGCCGTGTACTACCATTGCTGTGTACTACCATTACTGCGTGTCTTTGCTGCATTGTGCTTAGTTTCGTAGTTGGATTCTCAAATTAGCTTAGTCACTAGAACCGGTTTCAACCTCTCATTTATTAGTATTCAATTAGTGTGTTTTGTTCAATAAATTATTGTTCATTATGCTTTCATTTCTCCCTTGTTGAGGATCGGTGGCATTTTCGGGTTAATTGTCGAATCAATTTGGAGTCGTCCTTTACTTGAACCTTACATAAAACTTCAATATTCTTCCTGATATTGATTCCTACAAATTGTGAATTGTTTCCAAAAGAGTTTAGCCCATTGTTCAGTTAAACCTTTGTTTACCCTCTATCTGTTAAACCCCTGTTTAACCTTTTTAGCGCATTTTCTCATTTATGGAAAAAATGCACTATTATGCTCGCCATGTCCGTCTGTCCGTGACCTCAAGTTTTCGTCGACGAGAAAATGCGCTCTCTGTCACTCACTGCAGTGAGTACTGAGTTAATTTTTTTAACTTCCTCCAAACGTAGACTCGACCAGAAGTAACGATGGTAATTTGATTCGCCACAGAAAATCACATTTTCCACTACAGTCGGGACCAATTTTGTAGGTTTTTACACCACTCCAAAGCTTTGGAGCATTTGTATTTGAGAAAGGAGTTTTTCTAATTGCAGGTCTTCCATGTAATCCAGATTTTTACAGCTACCGAAGAACAGTTTGTATGTAAACTGGGTTTCTTTAGGTATTCATTGACGTCTACTGTACAGTAATTTCAAGAACAGCGGTCATTCGATTAACACCATCAATTTGATTTAGAGATCGACAACTTTTAACTTTTGGCCAGACCTGTGCTTCGACGAGGACGTTTTTCCTTCTCTTTACTTTTGAGACAGGACTTCTTATAAGTTCAAGCGTTCGAGAAGTTTTTGTCACACTAGCATCTACTTTACGAGTCACATCAGCATCTCCTTTACGAGTCACATTTACATCTGCTTTACGAGTCAAACTGGCATCTGCCATACGGTTTCTGCTTTGTCACACTAGCCTTACGGTTTTCTACTTTTGTAAGGTTATACCCACAAAAATTTTATGTAAAAGCATAAAATAATAATTAGCTGCAACAATAAACAATATTACAATAATAAAAATTGAACGACCAAGTTTTTATTGTCTATGACATTTTCAAAAATTGTGATCTCAATATGTTTAGTGTTTCCCTCATTTCGTGACACCTGTACGAAGAATGATCATCAGAGGAATATTTTACAAGCAATTCAAATTGAGATCGTGAAAAATGCGTTTAATTCCGAAGTTTTTTTAGCTAAGTAATATGTAAAAGATTTTTGTGACCCTCAATATTCCCCAAGATGCTGGTCAATTCAGCATTATCTATGAAATAATTCACTGATTTCATGTAGACCACAAAATATATAACATTAGGCACCGGAACAAAATAGGATACTGCTCTACTAACGTTCTTAAACAAGAAACGTATAGATTTGCAGTTTAAATTAAGATAACCTATTGTATATTTATTGTGACGATTTTCATCGCTTTATTTTTTCGTGTATCCCCTTTTCATCACGCAAGAGCGTACGTGGCACCGAATTATTTTTCATCTGCAGGGCTCTTAAAGAGAACGTTAATGAGGTTGTTCACGGAAGTCATGATTTTTTTTTTGCTTCGTATCTACGGAAGCGATCGTGCCCGGCTGCATACTTGTTTGCTATATCGTAATCAGGCATTAAAATACAATGCTCTTGCAGTCTAAGCGTCAGAGGTCGGCTAATTCGAACTTCAATCCGATTTTATGACTAAAAGGTGCCTGAAGAATATTTTATTTTAAATTAGGAACTTCTTATCAATCCAATTAGATGTACCTGGTTTCTAAGTCAGATCAGCAGTCAAAGTTCACTAGCAGACGATGACTGGAATTGTAAAAGTTTCTTTTTTAAAATGAATGCGCTGTTTAATTGTATATTCATTTAAATTTCAAGTACTGCTTTATACTGCACAGAACAATTTTTGAGAAGGAGTTGTGAATACAAAATTGACTGAACAGATTTGAGAAAGAAAGTGTTAGATATTAAAATATGATGAGCTTAGAGTGTACAGATTTTGTTTCGTTAAGGTTAGAGCTTTTCTGAAAATCACAGTCACCAGTTGCACTGAGGCTGCGGTGCCAAATACTGGGATAATTTCAATGTGGGGAATAAGTTCTCATAGTTTGTCATTACAATGGGTCGGTCACAACGGACATTTTTGATCTTTCAGGTTATTGTTATGAATCGGCGTCAGATAATTGTTTCCACTATCGGAAACATATTCTCTATAATAAGGTTAGACAATTATTCCTTACATGTTATGTTTGTTAAGAGCCTTTATTTTTTACTACGTAGAGAACGTTCGGTGAGTAGCATGAGCAAACTGAGCATTAATTCTTCCTGATTCCAAAGCAGTTATGGTAGGATCATTTGATACAGTGGAAGTTCCACTAGACTCACTGGCGTTTACAGACTCAAAACATCTGTATTTCGCCAGAGCCATGCTCATCACTACGTCAATTCAGAAACGAAATAAAATTAAAAACAAAGCTCTTAAATATTAATGGGCTGCTGCCCCCTCGATCAATATTCGCTAGTCAGGTTCGTTGTTGATTATAACGGGAAAACGTACGTACGTCTTCACAACGAAAACGTACGGATGCTAATAAATGTCATTCCTGAACCAATCTGAATAAAGTTAGTTTTCTGATGTAAATTGTATATTTTGAAATACTGAGAGGAGGGCAGTTATCAAATATCCTTATATTTGAGGGAAACTTTTGATCATAGAAAAACTTGCCGTAAAATAATTTTCACTTAATAATCTAACTTAGCTTTAGTAA